TTTATTCCTGGCTCAACCCTTTTTCTGGGAAATTCTGGGCCTGGCATCTGTCGCTCCCTCACCTTTTGGACTGGGGTGGCACAGCCCATGGGCAGAAACTTCTGTTTCTTTTTTCAGCAGCAGCTCAGCTTTTTTCCTCTCTCTTTCAGCCCATGGTCCCCAAGGCGATTCTTGCCTCCAGCACACCCAAGAGGGCTGGTGTGTCTCCCAGCAGCAGCAGTCTAGCCTTTTTCACACCCTGCTTTGTATTAACCCCAGTTCTCACCGCTCTCCCCTTTCTTTACTCTTAGCTGCTGCCTGGGTTCTGCTCCGGCTGGTCCCGAATGGGACAACTCACCGCAGCCAACTCGCCATGGCCATCTTGCCACAGCCAACCCCCGTCAGGACAGTTTGCTGCGAGACGATTCCATGCGGGATAACTCAGCGCGATAAATGTTATCCGCCACTATTTCTTTGACATTATTTCCACTGACAAAAATGGAACAGTGGTGGTAACATTGTGTTGAGTTATCCCGAATGGAATTGTCCGGTGGTAAGTTGTCCTGTGTTGAGTGGCCACGGTGAATTAGCCGTGGTGAGTTGGCCACGGCGAGTTCTCCTAAGCCCACTCTGGTGATGCTGGCAATTGCTTAGGTCCCTTAGTGCAGGGGTCCCCAACCCCCGGTCCGTGGACCAGTACCGGGCCGCGGCATACCAGCAACTGATCCGCACAAACAAGCAAAAGCCCCATCCGCAGGATGCAGGTAGCACACAAAACCACGCACCCTCCGATCCGCGGAAAAACCTCTCTCCATGGAACCGGTCCCTGGTGCCCGAAAGGTTGGGGACCTCTGCCCTAGTGGACAGCACAGCGGAGTTGAGAGATGGGCAGTTGAACACAGAACACCTTGACTGTGCTGCGGTTGCTGCATAGGAGGATGAGGAACGAGGACGAGGAGGTGGCCATCTTCCCTGCCATCCTCCCCCAGTTCAGTCAGGGTCACGCACAGGGACAGTGGCATCCTTGGAAGAAGGGCTAGAGGAGGCCCCAGGTGTCTGGAGGGCAGTGTCTCTCTTCCTGCTCTAGGGAGGCAGCTTCTCCTTGAGCCTCTGGAGGTGACTGTCTTCCGAGGGACCTTGGAAACAAAGTCCTGGCCCCAGCTTTGGCCTCCCCTGCCTGCCCCACACCTCTGCCCTCCCCCCAGCCATTCTCTTGTTGCCTGGTTGATTTACATACTGGGCTGCCATTGGCTGGCTCAGCCCAGGGGAGGTGCAGGGGGTGGGGTGTCATGGTGACCAGGGCTGAATGGGGCTGTCCAGGGAGGATGGAAGCTGGAGTAGCCTCTGGGGTGGCCTTCTCCTCCCCTGACAGTGGGACTGCACCAGCAGATGGCCTGGGTAACTATTTGGGGGGGGCAGTGGAGGGGCAGGTGGGCTCCTGTCCGGGACCCCTGGAAACAAGAGCCCCTGTGCTGGAAGCCACCCAGGTCTCTGGGAGGGGAGATGCTCACACCTCTGGCAGCAGATCTTGTTGCCCTGCTCTATGGCTGCCGTTGATGGTGGTTTGCTTGTGGTCCCGCAGGGTGATGTAGACTAGGGGTCCTCAACCTTGGCAACTTTAAGCCTTGTGGACTTCAACTCCCATCTGGAAAGGGGGAGGTTTGGGCTCCTCTAGAGCGGGTGTGTGTGTGTGTCTCTCCAAACTTGGCCACTTTTAAGACTTGTGCACTCCAACTCCCGGAATGGCTGGCTGAGGAATTCTGGGAGTTGAAGTCCACAAGGCTTAAAGTTGCCAAGGTTGAGGACCCCTGGCCTAGACTCTAGAGCAGGGGTCTCCAAACTTTGAGACTTGCGGACTTCAACTCCCAGAATTCCTCAGCCAGCCATTAAAAGTGGCCAAGTTTGGAGACACACACACACACACCCGCTCTAGAGGAGCCCAAACCTCCCCCTTTCCAGATGGATTGGATCAAGAAGCAGATGATGTTTTGAAATCTCGCAAAGGTTTAGCTGGAGGAAACCACATTTTCTGGGGTGTGCATGTTTGATCTGAGGTCCTGGGGGCTATCAGAAGGCTGAGCCCACCCCCACCCCCAACAATCCAGACTCCTCCTGGTGGCCATGTGGGAGGCTGGAGGGTCCTGCAAGAGCATGCTAGGCAGAATCGCTCTACAGACGGCAGGAAAGGGGGCAACTACTTGGGGCACCCCTGATAGGAAGGACCCAGCTACACCCCGTGTGTGTCTGGGTCACTCACCTCATTGCTTGCTTAGAACCCTGGAAAGGGAAGTTGCCTGTGGTTGTTCTCTGCATGTGGGCAGAGGCCGTTCACCACATGAGGCCGGCTTATGTCTCCCTGGGCAAACACTGGGATATGGTGGGCTTGCAGGCCCAGAATGCACCTCCCTCCCTGCTCAGCCTATCCTCTGGTGGGGCTGCTGCACACCTCGGCTGTGCTCTGGCCTTGCCCTGGGTGGTTGCAGGGGGGGGATCCAGACCCTGGGCCTTTGTGCCTCAGGTTCCCTCTGGGGTCTGTGGGTCCCCCAAAAAGGGTTGAAGCCCTGTGGCTTTTTCTCTGGGGAACGTAGGGTGGGGCTTCTAGAGTTCAAGCACACCCAGGCCGTTTGTGAAAGCCCCGTCGTCCTCTCTTGCTCCCGTCCTGCCTTTGAAAGTAGGCCTGTTGCACTTTTGTGGGGGCTGGCTTGGTTCTGGCCAGACGCGCCCAGGACACCTTTCCAGGAAGTCCTCAGTTGAGGCCCCACTCTGCCGCTCTCCCTGCAGGCAGGTAACCTCTTGTTCCTCTCCTCCTGGCTTCCTCTCCCCCCCCATTACGGTGGGGCAGTGGTGGGGGTTGGACCCGCCGTTCCAGCTCACCCCCAAGGTGAGGGGAGGGTGGGGTTGTGGAGCAAACCTTGCAGAAAAACCCATCGGTGCTGTTTACCGTGTCTCGCCCTGGCCAAAGGAGCCTTGTCCCCTGCTGGCCAGGTGGGTTGAATGAGGCCAACCTCATTCAACCCATCTCCCTGGGAGGTGGGCCTCCCTGGGAGGACTGGGAGGCTTCCTGTCTCCGTGGGGTGGCCGTGGGCTGCCGTGCCTGCCTTTCCCTGCTCTGCAAGGAGCTGCTCCTTCCCTCCCCCTATCCCTGCGGCCCCCCCCCCCCCCCCCCCCCCCGCCTCTGTGTTTCCTGCTGGTTCCCCCATCCCCCCCACCCCTGTTCCCGCACAGGCTGAGAGGAGTGGGCGGCCCCTGGTACCACCTGCTTTACCCTGCACTGCTGTGGCTGGCCTGGGCCTCTGCAAGGGGGAGGAAGTTGGAGGCACTTGGGGGAATATACTCCAAGGATGCCCTAGGGTGCTGGGGGGCCAAGGCTGGCTGTGGCTTGCCTTCCTTGCTCCAGGGCAGTTTGGCCAGAATGTGCCCCTCCCCCCTGGTTCCTCCATGATGGGAGGGGGTTCTCTCCTTCTGCAGACAGTTCCTGCTCCTGAGACTTGTAGTAATCCTGGTGTCACAGCTGGGGAGGACAGGGCCTTGGCTCCAGTGGGGCTTCTGCCCCCTCCCTCCCTCCCTCCCTTCTAGCCAACCTGTCTTATGGGAAATCAGCTCCTGGCTGGTGCAGCAGGCTGCTAGTCTGTGCCCATGACCTTGATTCCAATGGAGTTCTCTGGACACAACCTTGTATCTGTAGGGAGGGTGTTTTTTTGGGGGGGGGGCAATTAGAAGAGAGTCCACCCAGAGGAGAAGAGGACCCTCAGCCAATCTGTGCTAGTCGGGCTGTCCTTCCTCTCGCCTGGACCTGGTCCTTGCAGGGATGAGGAGGCCGGGTGGGTGGGTGGGTGAGAGGGAGGGATGGGTGAAAAGAGGACCTGGGAATCAGCATTTAGATCAGGGGTCTCCAAACCTGGCAACTTTAAGACTTGTGGACTTCAACTCCCAGAATTCCCCAGCCAGCCATGTTGAAGTTTGGAGACTCCTGAGGCAGATCGCTGAAACGACCAATTTAGGTTTTCCATGGGCAATTCAGATATTTCCCAGATGAAGCATAAGCCACTACTTTACAGAGGAAATGTGCTCCTCCTTTAAGAAATCCTTCATTCCTGAAGCCACCAGGTGGATTTATGTGGACGCATTTGTGGATTGACCAGAGAATCCTTTTCTGGTGTGAAGATCCCTGGTCACCCCCTCCTTATTAAGGAGGTCCAGAGACCCCTTCTTCTCCTCCTCCCTCCCTCTCTCCCTGCCAGGAGCGTTCTCTGACCTCCCCTCATGGACCCCTCCCTCTTGAAGAGGCTACAGGCGGACTTTCTATCCTCTCTCCCCAGGGCTGCTGCCCAGTTGCTTTGTTGGCCTGGGGGGACGTTGTGGTGCTCTGCGGACAGAACCGACCCGGAGCCCGTGATGGTGGGAACCATCCCCCGACAGCCGCGCCGCTTCTGGGGAGTGCCGGGGTGGCAGGTGTCCCCAATCAGCTTCACCAGTCACCATCGGCTGCTGCAGCAGGAGAACACGCCGGTCAGGGGACGGGACCCCGCACAGTGGGGTGAGTGGGATGCAGTGGCACCTCTTCAAAGGGGAGGGGCAACCTGTGAGTGGTGCTATGGACCTTTGCAATAGGGCTGGAGGGTCAGGAAGGCCTTGGCCCCTCGGCTTCTGAGCCTTTGGAGAAAGTGTCCTGGTACCAGGACACCCCCTCCCCTTGGGGTTTGGCTAACTGGGGAGGGACAGGACCCCAGAATTGGCTCCCCAGAGGTGCAGCAGCCTGCAGCTGAGAAAGACTGTCTGGAGGAGAAATCCGTGGGTCTGGGGCTGCCCCTTGGAGGGCAGGGTGAGGGCTCCTGCTTCAGGCCTGGAGAGGCGTCCTTGGGGGGGGGAATGGCAGGGAGGGGCCCTCGGGGGGCTTTGCTCAACCCCGCCTTCTCTCCCTCTCCTTTCAGATGTGGCTGTGCAGCCCGCTTCCTAGCAGGGGACTCGGCCCGACGCCCTGACCACACGGCACTTTAGAGCCTGTCCTCCCGCTCAGCCCCATGAGGCACCTCACGGCTGAGCCTGGACCACCCCGCCAGCCAAGCACAGGCCTGAGCCAGGAGCAGGAGCAGCAGCAGCAGGAAGAGGAGGAGGAAGAGGAGGAGGAGGAGCAGCAGCAGCAGCAGCAGACCTGGAAGCATCATGGCCTCCAGATGGGCTGCAGTCCGCCAGAGCTGGGAAGCCAGAAGGTCTACCAGGTCTCCATCTTTTCTCCCCGGGGCAGCGGCCCTGCCCTACCGCAGCAGAGGGGCCCCCGACGGCAGCCGGTCAAGCGGGGCTGCCCGGAGCCCCGGTGGGTGGCCGAGAGCGCCGAGTGGGATGCCAAGAGGGCCCACTGGGGCACGGAGGAGGAGGAGGAGGACGAGGCCATTGAGGACGGGCTCCTGGTGGACGAGCTGGCCCTGGGGGGCGCCGCCCAGCACTTCTCCCACAGCGGCCTGCGAGTGGTAGAGCACCGACAGGAGGCCAGTCCCGGCCAGCACAGAGGCTGGGAGCTGCCGGCGCCTGGCAGGCTTTGCACCACTTTGCACATGAGAGACTCGTCCCCCGTCTTGTGGGGGGAGCAGCCCGCCATGGACTCCAAGCCAGAAGAGAACGGGGGCCCCCGTTTCCCACATAGTCACGATTTGCACAGCCCTGCACCCCCATCCTCCCCGCCAGGACAGCCATCCCTGGAGGCCCAGGCTCCCAACACTCCGCCGGAGGCCCCCAGCTTGGGCACCAACGGGCTCTGCTCGGCCGAGAAGACGCCCTGCTCCAGCGGCCAGCTCTCGGCAGGCGGCCCTACCAGCTGCCCGGCCAAAAGGAAGCTGCTGCCCTCAGTTGAAGGAAGGGCGGCCACCGGCCCGGAGGAAGAGAGCCTTCCACCAGCACGCAAAAGGAGGGCTCTGCGTTCTCCCACAGTGCCAGCCTCTTGCCGCAGCACCGATGCCAAGGGCGCCCCTTTCTGGAACCACCTGCTTCCAGCAGCCAAGGTGAGAGACTGGGGCAGGGAGGGGGCACCATTTGTCTCCCAAAACCGACCTGGGGGGTGAGGAGCTGTAGTCTAGGAAAAGAGTACAGGGGTGCCATCTTGCTGGCAGGGCCCCTGTCATGTGTCTGACTAATGAAACACTTCAAAGAACTTTCAGGCATTTTTTAACCTAATCCAGGGGTAGTCAACCTTGGCTCTTTTATGACTCGTGGACTTCAACTCCCAGAATTCCTGAGCCAGCTGTGCTGGCTTAGGAATTCTGGGAGTTGAAGTCCACGAGTCATAAAAGAGCCAAGGTTGACTACCCCTGACCTAATCCTTTATTAGTGTAAAAGGAGTGTTAGCACGGCATGGAGAAATGCCAAGATCTGAATTTCCCTTCCTTTGCACATAACATTCCAGGCATTTCCCCTCCCCTATTTTGGGGTCATGATTCACATCTACCAATTAAACTGGAGGGCAAAGATTCACTTCCGTTCCATTCCTGCGGGCTTTTCTCTCTCCTCTCTCATTCTCCTCTGAATTAACTCTAAAAGTACCAGAGAGTTCTGCATTTTTTGTCAAAGCAAGAATATTCAATATTAGCAGCGTTGACAGCCCCGAGTTCGGGCACTCCCTGCAGTCCTGCAAAGGAGCCTCGCTTAGAGCTGAAAAGAGAGGTCCCAGCCTGCTAATTGGACCCAGCCTCTGTAAGTGGCAGACGCACCTGGGCTTTCCCAGACTATGAGTAAATCCTGCTAGAGCAGCGGTTCTCAACCTATGGGTCGCGACCCCATTTGGGGTCGATCGACCATTTCCCCCCCCCTTTTCCGGCGGGTGTCTTACCTCCCTTGAGCTGGGCCAGCTGGTGGTCGGCCTGCTCCGTCTCTGCCGCTTGCCAGCTACGCCTCGGCCGGCACAGGGGGCAGAACCACGCATGCGCGGCGCTCCCGGGCAGGGAAAGTCCTCGACTTACGACCGGTTGGGTAGTCCTCGACTTACGACCGGTTTAGTCCTCGACTTACGACCGGTTTAGTCCTCGACTTACGACCAGTTGGGGTTGCGGCATTAAAAAGGTTGAGAACCACTGTGCTAGACAGCGGTCCCCGAGCTTTCCAGCTTGGCAGAGCAGTGGGGGAGGGGGCAGGGGATGATGCCGTGCGAGTGGCAGTCACCCGCATGATCTTGCACTCCACTTGTGCACGTGCGCCTCTCTTGCGCAAATGGAGCCGCACGCATCTACACACTCGCCTGCCTCTTGTGTGGCCCATTTCCAAACTGGCTGCAGCTCCGGGGGTTGAGGACCCATTGTGCTAGATGTCTCTCTCTCTCCTTTTGTCCTGGAAGGAAAGGAAGCCCTTCCCGCCTCCTCATCTCCCAGTTCCATTTTCCCCTGCCTCTTTGCTCTTTCTCTCCCCCCCCTTGGGTTGAGTTCTGGGATCTCTCCGGAGAGGGGCAGACATTCCATTTTCTCCCAGATGCGGGAGAATGCATGGCCTCCATTTTACATATTTACTGCCCTTCTACCCCACTGCAATCTAATTGGCTGTTGACAGATACACTCCTGTGCAATTAAAAAATCTGAATAAAAAGCAGGGACTTTAAAGTATAGTGGAAAAATAATTGTAAGAGAGGGAGGGGGGAAGAGAGAAAAAGGGAGAGAGGGAGAGAGAGATAGGGAGGGAGAGAGAGGGAGAGAGAAAGAGGGAGAGAGAGAGAGAGAATGAATGAATGAATGAATGAATGAATGAATGAATGAATGAATGAATGAGAATCTAATTCAGGGGTAGTCAACCTTGGCTCTTTTATGACTCGTGGACTTCAACTCCCAGAATTCCTGAGCCAGCATGGCTCAGCTTGGAAACCTCTCCCTTTCCCCTCAGCATGGCTGGCTCAGGAATTCTGGGAGTTGAAGTCCACGAGTCATAAAAGAGCCAAGGTTGACTACCCCTGATCTAATTGCAGTGGGTGATCCCGGTAAAGGGTCAAACCAACCGGAAGCTGCTTGGTAGCTGCACTCCTGTTCCTGGGTGTCACCAGTGCTCAGACTGCTGCAGGCCCAGTTTGGGTGATCAGGGCCAAGAGAGGCTACCCCAGATAGCCGGCTTTCATATCGGTAGCAGTGTAGGAGAAGGAGTGGCAGAACCTGAGGGCGGAGTGAAAAGAGGAATCTACCTAGAATCCCTACTGTAGTCATAAGCAGACTTAGCCCAACCCCCTTTGAATCCCATGGACCCTTATCTCACTCTTACCAGTTGCTGACCCTTAAGTTGAGAAGAGTCCTACGCATGGGCTTTAGCAATAAATCACTTTAACTGAACCTTCATGTTTGGGCCTGGTCTTTTGAGCCTGACGAGCAGCCAAGGCTGCAGTGGATGCTTTGTTACAAACAGACCCCGAGTTGAGGTTCCCACTCAGGCACGTCCTCAGCGGCCGGAGCAGCCATGTTCCCTGGCCCATTCCTGTTCTGTGCTGGAGCTTGTGGCATCTTTGTCCTCCTCCTGAACCAGCCCTGCTGTAGGAAGAGGAGAAGTTTCAGATGTCCCTAAGGCCAGGGGTAGGCAACCTTGGCTCTTTTATGACTTGTGGACTTCAACACCCAGGATTCCTGAACCAGCCAGGCTGACTCAGGAATTCTGGGAGTTTGCAGTCCACAAGTCATAAAAGAGCCAAGGTTCCCTACCCCTACCCTAAGGCCTTCTGGGGGACTGGGGATAATTCAGCGTTTCTCAACCTCGGCCACTCGAAAAATGTGTGGACTTCAACTCCCAGAATTTCCCAACCGACAGGTTGGCCCAGGGAATTCTGGGAATCGGTCCAAGAAGCGCCGGTTTAACTCAACTGGTCTTCCATCAGAGCAGCGGGTCAGGTGGGTCCATCAGACGGTGCTGGTTCTGGAAGGAAGGCTGGCTGGCTGGCTGGCTGGGCAGGTTGAAAAACAGCCTCCTTCCTAAGGCTTGACTGGCTTCCAAGGTGACCCATGTGGGCTGTCTCTCTTCCTCGCCTCTCAACGGGGCGATGGAGCTGTAAGTGCCCAGCTGCTCCCAGGAGGAGCGATCTGCTCCAGAGGGGGTCCTGTATTGGAGGCAGGGGCTTTGGGTGGAGCGGCAGGATCTGACCTCCCCTTCCGGTCTCCCCGGTACAGGGCTCAGCAAGCAGCAGGACCGGTGCTTCTCAGTTGAAAGCGGGGCTCCACCTCAAACCGTGAGTCCCCCCCTCCTCCCCACTTTTGAGGCAGCCTCCAAACTCTGCAGCAAGGTGGGACGGCCCTGGGGCCTGTCCATGGAGCTCCCCAAGGCTGCCCACGTGGCCCTCTCAGCAGGGGTCAGGAGGGGCTGGAGGAGGCCCCCCTGGAGTGAAACTTCCCTTCTGCCCCAAGCAGGAGGAGGCAACTGCGCAGCAGCCCCGGAAGGGCTCTCGTGGGCCGGCGGCCCCCCACCACCTCCATCAGCCACGCCCTTCTGGGGAATTTTGAGGTAACCGAGGTCCTTGAGCAGGTCTGGGGAGGCCTTGAGTGTGGCCACCACCTGAAGGACCGTTAATGTCCCATGTGAACACGAAGCTGTGGGGTGGCTCCCTCCTTTCTGCCAAGGGGGCTGAGCTGAGAAAAGCTTGGTCCTCATTGGGAAATGGGGGGGCATCCTGGTCAAGCTCCCCGTCTCCTGAAAACGGCGCCCCCTCCCTCCTGGCAGGAGTCAATGCTGAAGGGGCGTTTCCCACCCTCCGGCCGGATCGAAGGCTTCACCGCAGAGATCGGGGCCAGCGGATCCTACTGCCCGCAGCACGCCACCCTGCCGGTGGAGGTCACCTACTTCGACATAGCCGAGCACAACGCCCCCTCCCCATTTCTAGTGAGTGGCTGCTGGGAGGAGGGCTGGGAGGGGAGCCCTAAACCAGCCCTGCATTTGCTCTGGGAAGGCTGGAGGTGAGCAGGCAGGCAGCTGGCAGCGGCCTCTCCTTCAAGATCCCGCCGGGTCTGTGCGGGTGGTTGAACAAATGCCAGAGACTTGGGGAGGGGGGGGCGTGCTGGGGACTGACCCAGGGAAGGCAGTCTGCTGTAGGAGCACCCAGCTCACGATGGGCTTCCTCCCGGCCCCCCGATTCCACCAGCAAGGGGCTCCCCAAGGGAATTTCATGTGGCAACTGGCCACATCCCGCCTTTTCTGACGATGTCCTCGTGCCTCCTTTGTGCCGTAGGGAGTCATTGACTTGGAAGCCTTGGGAAAGAAGGGCTACAGCATCCCCAGGACGGGCACCATCCAAGTGGTGAGTGGCGGTGGGAGGAATGAAGGGGGCTCTGGCTTGTGGGGAATAGCCTGGAGCTGGGGCCAGCCTGGCTCTCCTCTCCCTTTCTTCTCCCCTCCTCCTCTTCCTTCCCTCTTCTCCTCTCCTCCCCTCCCCTCCCCTCCTCCCCTCTCTCCTCCTTTTCTCTACAGAGAAAAGAGAGCAGAGCAGAGAGAAGGGGGTGAGGACGGAAGACATGGCAGGGGGAGGCCGGGCGAAGAGCCCCACTCCCAACCAACCATGTCACGGCAGCTCCTGCCTTTCTTCCTTCCTCGGTTGGCAAGACCCACAAGACCCACGAGCAGCTGCCGGCCTCCCCTCCTTCCCTCCCCACTGACTCCTCTCCCGTTCCAGACCTTATTCAACCCCAATAAGACGGTGGTCAAGATGTTCCTGGTGACCTACGACTTCCACGACATGCCTGCCAACCACGTCACCTTCTTGCGCCATCGCATCTTCCTGGTGCCGGTGGGCGAGGGGGAGGCCTCCGCCTCGGATCTTGCAGAGCAGCCCAAGCGGGTCCTCTGCTACCTGATGCACCTGAGGTGAGGACGGGGGAGCCGAGCGGGGCTGCCTCTGGGGCTTTGCTGAGGCCCGGGAGAGCAGGGCCTGAACCTTCTGTGCTCGGAGCGGTTCTCAGCTCTTTCTCACGGCCCCGCGGCTGTCCGGCAGCGGTCACTGCCCCCAGCTTGGGCATAAGGAGGGCAAATGCGGCCTTTTTCATTTGTGGCCCAGGGAGTGGGAGGGAGGGAGGGATTGGTGGATTCCGCTGCATTTGTTTCACTCTTCCAGCCCATCCCATCCCACTGTGGCTTGCCACCAGGAAAACACCCCCAAATCTTCTCCCAGATTTGGGCTGGGGTGGGGGTGGTGGGAAGCAGGAGGCAGGTGTTGGCAGAGAGAGAGAGGCCAGATTTAGCCATATATCAGCACCTGTTCTGGGTTCGCGCAGGTGCATTCAGAGGTGGGTTCGAATACCAGCAGAGAGTCGGCCTCCTTTCGCACAGAGGTTTGATTTTGGGCTCCTTGGGAGGCAGCAGTACAAACATTCTGTGCCCCCACCCGAGCTGATGGTTGGGCTTATTTTGGATGTGGTTTAGCACCATTTTAGAACAAGCCACCCAGAGTCGTTGGATACGAGATGGCCGACAAATTTCATAAATAAACAAAACAAACAAATAAAATTAACCTGAACCACACTGGTGGACTCAGGGACCGTGGCATGGTGAAGCAGCCGAGAAAGACCGGGGGAGGGGGGTGTCTTTCCTGTGCACCCGTTCTTCAGGCTGGTTTGGGTCTCCTTGTTACGGATCAGCTCAGAGACCTGGTTGGGACAGGGTAGAAATCCAGTTTGAAAGAATTGGGCTCTTCCGCTGCCCAGACCAAAGTGGGCCAGGAAAGCAGGGCATGGGATTATGCCACACCTTGGCTGAACCTCCTCTTATCTTTTTCCTTCCGAGTTGCCTAAACCAGTTAGATGCGCCCTAATCCAATGAACCAGGATTAACTGTTTCAGAACGAACCACAAGCATCATCTTAGGGCTGCATCCCTTTTTATTGCTCTTTGCTCACAAACGGATGACGGAGCTGTTATTTCCCTTGGGTCTGATTGCGAGTTTCCCTCACTGGGGGTCTCTGGGCAGCAGCTGGATAGGGATACGGCAGTTTTTAGCCCATCGCCTGGCCTCTGTCCTCGGGCAGCTCTTCTAACTGGGCCCTAAGCTTATATCCAAGTAGTCCTTGACTTAACAACCACAACTGAGCCAAAGATTTCTGTTGCTCAGCGAGAAAATTGTTAAGTGAATTTTGCCCCATTTTACGCCCTCTCTTTCCACGGTTGTTAAGTGAATCACTGCCATTGTTAAGGTAGTAAGACAGTCGTTAAGTGAATCAGGCTTCCCCATTGACTTGGCTTGTCAGAAGGTCACAAAAGAAGGATCACATGACCCAGGGACACTGCGACCGTCATAAATATGAACCAGTTGCCAGGCATTCGGATTTTTTTTTTTTAATTTTTATTAATTTTTCAATTAAAAACAATAACATAAATATGGTGCATTTAATCACAATATCAACCAAAAAACAAGAAAAAATAACACTACTCAATACATTCATGGACGTGTCCGGTGTCCCCCCCTGCACCCCCCTCTTTCACTTTCCACGCCTTCCTCCCCCCTGACCTACAACCTCTCCTCCTTCCTCCCTCTCTACCTACATCCCTTCCTCTCTCAACCATCCCATCTGGTGCAGTTGGGGTACCCACCGGACACCTCCCTAAAAAATCACATATAAATCTACAATACATCAATTCATATACCTATCTATTCCCTTTTCCCCCTCCCCCCCCCAAGACTTCCCAGAGCTGGTCCAGGAAATAAACAAACAATAATCCCATTCTATCCAAAGCTACTCATTATTACTACACACTAGTATAAACTTACTGTGACTCTAAAATAACATTAAAATACATACAAATTTTATAAATATATCAATATTTGTTGTATATATATATATATGTAAAAAAAAAAGATTTTTTAATCAAAAGCTACTTGATAATTATTCAGTTCATATTTTCTCTGAATATAATCTATCCATCTTCTCCACATTGAAATAAATTTCTCCTGAGAGTGATCCTTCAGGTATGCGGATATTTTTGCCATCTCTGCAAAATACGATACCTTCTGTCTCCAATCATCCATAGTTGGTAACGTCTTTTTTTCCCAATTTTGAGCAACTAATGTCCTTGCTGCTGTTATACAGTACAACATCAATTTCATTTCTTTTTGATCCAAATTATCCATAATGCCCAATAGAATGCCCAGGCATTCGGATTTTGATCACGTGACCCTGGGGATACTGCAATAGTCATAAGTGTGAAAAAAAAATGGTTATAAGTCACTTTCCTCAGTGCCGTTGTAACTTTGAATGGTCACTAAATGAACTGTTGTTAGTTGAGGACTGTACAGAGTATTGTGCTGGCTGCCCAGGTTCTCTCCACCCACCCCCATTGCAGGCAAATATGCCTTGGTTCCCAAATGGACCCCCTGTTCCCCCCCCCCCGGAGCAGCAGCCTTGGATCTCCCCACCCCGCAGGCTCTTCTGAAGAGTCTCTTGTTTCCCTTCCCAGGTTCCACAGTTCCAAGTCGGGGAAGATCTACCTGCACGACAACATCCGGTTACTCTTCTCGCGCAAGTCTATCGAGATGGACTCTGGGATCCCTTACGAGCTGAAGTCTTTCACGGAACTGCCCCGCAACCCCTGCTATTCTCCCCGGGCTTGAAGGAGGGAGCCGGGAAGCAGCACTTTGCCCAAGCAGAGATGGGGCGGGGGGGGGGGGTTGGAGACGCTTCCGCGCAGCTGGAGCAGGGAGAGCCAGGCCTTTTCCCAGAGCCGTGTTTCAGTCATTGGATCCAGCCCAGCCAGGATCACAAATGCAGCACATCTCAACCTCTTGTTTTGGTGGCTGGTACAATTCTGTGCAGGGTGCAGGAGGCTGGGCAGAAAGGGAAGAAGAAGGGGGGGCAGGTTGCCACAGGGAATGGGCCCCTGCTGGCTTTGGTAGGCGGGCAGGGTGCCTAGGTGTCTGGGCCACGCAAAAGTATGTGCAGAACTGGGAGGTGGTCTTTGTCTCCAGGGACTTCATGGGGAAGGTGCTCTTTTTAGGAATCGAGTTGGATCACCATGCAGGAGAGGCATTGGAGCCCCATCCAAGCTAGCTTGCAGAAGGGAGTTGAAGACAGCCGTGCAAGGCGAACAGATCAAGCATAACTGCTCCCCTTTCCCAGGAAGCCATGAAAGCTGTAACACTCCAAGGAGAGGGGGTGTCTTTCCTCCTGGCTGCTGCTTCAGGCGCCCTCCTCTTCCCCTGGACCAGCTGTACAACACCAGGCCCTTGGGTCACCTAGAGAGGCTCATGCTGGCCTCTCAGCCCCCAGTTCTGGTCCACACACAGTGCGTGTGTGACCCAAAGAAAATTCAGACAGTTGATCTCTGGAGGTATGAAGCAGGGTTTGTGAATCAGTGTAAGTTTTTGCTTTGTGAACTGAACTATCACCACCCGTGTGGGTGCTTCTGCTGAGGGCACCAACCAAGTTGGAGATGGTAAGGCAGGAGGAGCTGTTTGAGGGGTCCATGGATAGCTTTGAATCTGTCCTAGTTGGAGCTGCACCAGTTTAGAAGAAAGGAAGCCTTGCTGTGAAGCCCAGGCCTCTTTTGAGGGACAGTTCTGCTCCCTGTTGCCCCAAGCATTATGTTCTCCTGGTATCATTTTGGTTTGGGTTGCATCTCCTACATTGTTCTCTCAAGAGGGAGCAGGTGTGATGAAAGGGGCTACAATTACAGAGACTTGAAAATATTTATATTTAAAAGGAAAGAAAGAGAGACAGGCAGAAATGTATGGAATACTTTCTCCCTTCTCTTTCCTTTTTTTTGAAACAGAAAAAAAATCTATAAATGTGTGTTTGGAAAAAATGTCTGCCTGCCTTGATATTTTCAAGAGAGTCTGATTCCACTGAATGGGATGGGGCTGAAATGAGACAGTTAAGCAGGTTTGGACTGTTGGGTGACCTTATTTTGGGGGGGGGGAATCAGCCCATTTTAATTGGAGGACAGTCGCCACTGACACATGAGAGATTTATTGAACTCTCTTGTTGGCCAAATTCCTTAAGGAAGCCTCACTCTCTATAACAGCAGGAGTTGGGCCAGACTGGGTAGTGTGGGAAGGAAAGTGCCATGCCTTTGGTGCCAATAAGATTTGTGACTGATTTGTCTCCGCCCCTCCCAACCTCTGGAGGCTTCCAGCTGTGCCGCATCAGTGCAATTTTCCAGGTGAGAAGCAACTGGAGAGAGACACCTTTCATTGTGGCACAATGGTTAGAATGCAGCATTGTAGGCAAACTCTGCCCACAGCCAGGAGTTCGATCCTGATGGGGCTCAAAGTTGACTCAGCCCTGTTCTTCGGAGGTCGGTAAAATGAGGACCCAGATTGTTGCAGGCAACAGGCTGACTCTGTAAATGGCTTAGAAAGGGCTGCAGAGCACTGAAGCGGTATATAAGTCTTAAGTGCAGTTATTTGGCTTCACCCATCCATTCCTGGGAGACTCTTCCGAGCGACCAAAGTGGGTTAAAGGGCGGCTGTGCAACTACATGGAAGCATCTGCCGAAAGGGAAGAGAGAGGGGGGGTCCTTTAATGGGAAAGACAGCCAACATCACGCGTGGGCTTTCTTTCATTGGAGGAAAACAGGCCTGAAGGGCTCCGGCCTGTAAATCCGGTGCTTGGCAGTCGCATTTCCTCCCGCTGAGAGACCCTGTGGGACAAGAGACGTTTCTCGGGAGGCGCTAGTTTTGATTTTCGCCTGCATTAAGACTTGGAAATGTGGTCCACGTTTCCATTGGACAGCCTGGCTGCATCCCTCCCTCTCGGACCCTTCGGCGGCTCTGCCCGCCCGGGGCTTCTTTCGCTGCTCTCGGGCCTCTGATGGGCCGCGACCTCCGGAAAGGCCTGCGATGGCGAGCCACGGACGCGCTCCGATGCGGAAGCGCCGGAAATCTCTGGGGCCGCCCCTCGAGGCCGCCCCCCGACGGAGGCTCCCGGGACTTTCGTCCGGAGGGACGCCGGGGTCTTTTGCGGGGCGGAACCAATGGCCGCGCGGAACTGTTTTCCCTCCGGAGCGTGACGGGAGGAACCGAGCAGCCGACGTCCCATTGGTTGAGAAAACGGTCTGGCGCCCCGGCGGGTTTCTTCCCGGAAGCGGAAGCGCGGCGGAGGTCTTGGAGCAGCGGACCGGCACTGGGCGGGCGGGCGACACGATGCTGGCGCTGCGGGCGGCGCGCGGGGTCTCCAGCCTGCGGCCCCTGCTGCGGGAGGTGGGCGGCTGGGCCGGGCGGGCGCGGGCAGGGGATGCTGGGGAGGTGAGCGCTGAGGGGGCGGGGCGGGCTCTCCTCCCCCGCGCCTCCCCAGCCTCTCCCTGGTGGTCCTTGCAGGGCGCCCGTCGGGCGGGTACCGGATCGTCGCCGCGGAGGAGCGCCTCGGGGCTGCCTATGAACACGATGGTGCTCTTCGTGCCGCAGCAGGAGGCCTGGGTGGTGGAGCGCATGGGCCGCTTCCACCGCATCCTCGAGCCGGTGAGAGCCGCGGGGCAGCGGGTGTGTGTTTGTGCTGGGGAGATCCCCGGAGGGCATCTAGTCGGGCACCATTGCGGGGGGAGGCTCTCCAGCGAAACGGCGCCCGGCTCCGCCTGAAGATCTCCATCTCTTGCGAGCCCCGGCCGCTTGTACAGTGTGGTCCCCCAGCGGTCCTCTGCTGAGCCCCCTGGTCGCTGGGCCGGAGGATCGGGCCCTGCTGGGCGTGCTTTTCAGCTCTTAGCAACAGCAGCAGCCCTCTGAGCCCTCCGGCAATCGCGGGAAGGCCTCCCGGATCCCTTCTAGTCCAGGGAGGCTGTGCTAGGGGGAAAGGGAGCGCGAGGCTTCCTCCCCCAACTATGGGTCGTTGCTATGGGCTGCCTCTGCCTTGCTGAGCCTCGCAAGCTGGTGCAGCCACGTAAATAATACTCCGTCCTTCAAGCGAACAGGTCTCCCAGCCCATGAAGGGGCCTTAAGCTTTTGCCTCCTTCCAAACGTTCTTGCACTTGTTAGGATCAGATGCTGCCTCAGCACGGTGGCTGCCCAGCTCTGGTCGCCTGCTCTGGGGCCTCCCCCTCCTCCTATGGGGACAGGGAAAGCGCCATGTTGCCATTGAGCGCTCCAGCTGAGCCTCCAGGCAGGAGTCCAGCACAAGGAGCTGTTTAGGAGAGCTTGGGGTCCTGGCAGCCTTTTTGCTTTCCCGTTCCATGCTCAGAGATGGCATGGCCCCTTCCTCATCTGCTTGCTGTCTTCTTACAGGTAGTCCTCAACTTACGACCACAACTGAGCCCCAAATTTATGTTATTAAGCAAGAAATTTGTTAAATGAGTTTTGTCCCATTTTATACGACTTTTCTTGCCACATTTGTTAAATGAATCCCTGCAGTTGTTAAGTCAGCAACATGGTTGTTAAATGAATCTGGCTTCCCCTTTGACTTGGCTTGTCAGAAGGTCACAAAAGGGGATCACGTGACCCTGGGACACTGCAACTATCCTAAATACGAGTCAGGTGTCAAGCATCTGAATGTAAATCACGTGACCATGGGAATGCTGCAACAGTCATAAGTATGAAAAACGTTCATCGGTCACTTTTTTCAGTGCCATTGTAATGTTGAACGGTCACTAAATGACTGTTGTAAGTTGAGGACTGCCTGTACTCCCTTTCCTCCCACATAGCCAGAAAAAGTTGGAGCTAGGTTTATCTTTGTCAGTTGAGGATGGTGCTGGTGGAGGTGGGCCACCTATGGACTTGAGCATGTTCCTAAAAAAATGCCAGAGTGTGGCCCAATTAGCCAGACCAGTGGTTCTCAACCTTTTTAATGCCGCGACCCCCAACCGGTCGTAAGTCGGGGACTAAACCGGTCGTAAGTCGGGGACTAAACCGGTCGTAAGTCGGGGACTACCCAACCGGTCGTAAGTCGAGGACTTTCCCTGCCCGGCAGCGCCGCACATGCGTGGTTCCGCCCCCTGCGCCGGCCGAGGTGTAGCTGGCAAGCGGCAGAGACGGAGCAGGCCGACCACCAGCTGGCCCAGCCCAAGGGAGGTAAGGCACCCGCCGGAAAAGGGGAAAAAATGGTGGACAAAAAAAATGGCGGACAGCCTTGCTTGGCGACCCCTGTGAAATGGTCGATCGACCCCAAATGGGGTCGAGACCTATAGGTTGAGAACCACTGAGCCAGACAGTTGGATGTCACTGCAGATGCTTGTGAGTATAAATAGTGTGGGGAATAAATGAGCCCAGCTAATCTCAGCTTTCTCAGATTGTACACTTCGGGGCAAAGGACGAGGGCTGAGCCAAGCCTTGGGGAAGAGGGTGGGAAGCATTTCTGCCTGGCTGCAGCTGCTTTTCCAAAGGGCTAACAGCAGCCTGGAGGGTTTTAAGAAGAGGCCGGACAGCAGGCTCTTTAAGGAGGGTCTGTTTGGTTTTGCAGCATATTACAGAGGCTTAGACTAGATCAGAGGTCTTCAACCTTTGGGGCACCAGGGACTGGTTCCGTGGAGAGAGGTTTTTCACTGACCGGAGGGGGTGTGGTTTCATCTACTGCCTGCATCCCATGGATGGGATTTTGCTTGTTTGCACAGCCTGGTTTCTGGCATGCCGTGGCCCGGTGCCAGTCCACGGCTCGAGGGTTGGGGACCCCTGAACTAGATGACCTTGGTGGTGGCTGTTTCATCGTGAGGTTTTCTAGCAGAGATTAGACAGGCTTTTGACTGGCTCCCTCCAACCTTGTGATGCTGTGATTGTTGGACAGCCTGAGATGATTATATATAGATAGAGAAAAGGATGATTCTTGTCCTTTGCTGATCCTTGCCAGGGACTGAATTTCCTCATCCCACTCCTAGACCGCATCCGCTACGTCCAGAGCCTCAAGGAAATTGTCATCAACGTGCCAGAGCAGTCGGCTGTTACCCATGGTGAGAGGGCCAGACTGGGGGACAGTTGGAGCTGGGGGACCAGAAGCCCTGGGGAGGGGGGGAAGGAAGGGGCCGGTCTGCTGTGCATTCAGAGATCAGCCCAACTGAGTCAAGGCAGCTTTGATTCTTTTGGTTTGCCGGCTGCATTAGTTCCTTCAGGAAAAGGCTGCACCACGGAACGGGTCACACTCAGTGCAGGTGGTCCTCGACTTACAACAGTTCATTTGGTGACCGTTCAAAATTCCAACAACACTGAAAAAATGTGACTTGGGACCGTTTTTCACACTTAACTACCATTGCAGCACATATGTGATCAAAATTGGGACACTTGGTGGCTGGCTCATATTTATGACAGTTGCAGAGTCCGGGGTCACATGTGTTCTGTCCCAGCCTACGTACGTGAGTCCTTGTTAAGCTCACGAGAAATCCCTCTTCCAACAAGCAGGCTGGAACTGCAGGAAAAAAACCAATCCCCTTTTTATTATTCACAGACCTGAGTCAATGTCCAAGGCAAACAAACACAGTTCACAGAAACTTGATCCTTGACACAAATAGATACCTTCGGCAACCACACCTTCCCTTTTATAATTCAGCCAAGGTGTGGCTTCCTAATGCCTTCTCCTTTGCCTTTGGAGCTGTCCCATTGCATTCCTTTGTCCTACTCTCTTTTCTTGCCGGCGTTTACGTGCATCCTGGATAGCTCCCAGCTGTAAGTCATCACTGTCCAACTCAGACTCCCAGCACAGCTGTGTCTCAGCCTGAGTGCGAGTAGAGGAGCCAGGCTCCTTGTCCGACTGTAAGTCTTGGAGCTCCTCAGAGCCTTCCTCTGACTCTAATGTCACTCCAGGCCTCTCCTTCTGAGTCATCACTCAGCTGCCGGATCCACTGGCTGGCGAGGAATCACAACAATGGGATCCCCTTTTGCGACCTTTCTGGCTGGCTTCCAACAACCAAAGTTGGGGGGGGGGATGGATTCGCTTTACAACCGTGTGATTCACTTGGCAGCTGTAGTGATTGGCTTAACAACTGTGACGAGAAAGGTTGTAAAATGGGGCAAGACTCAGTTAACACCTGCCCTGCTTACCAGCAGAAATGTTTGGTCTCAGTTGTGGTTGTAAGTCAAGGACTGCCTGTACTTGTCAGTCTGGTTTCGTAGCCCCTGTTGGAGCATAAAAACACTATAAAGTTTTCCAGGATGAGCTGTCCAAACTCTTGACACAAAACATTGTGGCAATGATAATAATTCGGGGCTGCCTAATTGAAATTATTCAAGGCCGCATGCAATGACTTTAAAACCCCCTTCGGAATGACAAAGCAGAAAGCTGGGGGGTGTTCAGAGGGCCGCTGATGTCCTTGGACTAAACATAAGAGCAGAAACGGGTCAGGGTCGTCCGCTCCAAGGGCAGATGGACTCCGAAGGCAGCCTTTAGCCCAGTGCCTTGGACGTTTGATGCTTGCGGGGTCTTTTGCTCTTTGTTTTGATTGAAAAAGCAGGAGCCTTGTGTTAGCGGTCCAAGTGCCGGATTGCTTTCTGGCATCTGGGCCTTCCCTAAAGCTTTGCTGTATAGATGATAGAAGTTCCCTTTGTCCTGAAAGAATTCCTGTGTCCTTGCAGATAACGTGACCCTCCAGATCGACGGGGTTCTCTACCTGCGCATCATGAATCCTTACAAGGTACCAAGCGGAAGCTCCACACAGAACGGGGACTGTTCTCAGTGGCTGTGTGGGGCTCTCAGAACTGCTTTTCCTCCGTGGATTTTGGAGGTTTGGCAGATGAAAGCAGAAGGATCTCTTTTGGGTTGATGTTCTCTAGGGCCGGGACGACCTCGGGCTCAGAAAGTCAAGGCCTTTTCCCTTGATTGTGGGTCTGGCCCTTCTGCCTGGCCTGGAAGAAATTCACATATTTCCTGTTCCTTCCGTCCGATGTCCCTCTTCCTCCTCTAGGCTAGCTACGGGGTGGAGGATCCCGAGTATGCCGTCACTCAGCTTGCCCAGACTACCATGCGATCCGAGCTGGGCAAGCTCTCCCTGGATAAAGTCTTCCGGGTAAGCAACAGAAGAGAAGGAAGACACACACACACACCCCACACACACACTATGCACTGTTTAATAGCGGACAAGAGAAGAGCAGAGTGTCAGGCTTGTCCCGACTTGGACATTTAGGAAAGAAAGACCCTCGTCTCCATTTGTGAAAGGTTTACTTTTACTAAAGTCAAACCATTACAGCATAAGCAAAGCTGGATCTGAATATTGCCGTGCAAAGCCTGCGTTTTTCCCTCTCCCCTGGCCCTTGACCAGTCTGTCGATGTCCAATAATGTTCGAATTAAATGTTTTGGGAACGGTTTTGAGGTTTGGCGCCTCTTTGGTGGAGTTTTGGCCTTCCGCCGGTCGGTTCTGGATTGACACCTCTGGTTCCTGTCGCCCTGTCATTCTCCCCTCCTACCTCCCCAATCTTACCCCATCCTCCCCCTCCCCGTTTTATGGCAGGATGCCAGCTAAGTGAGGTATGCTGAAGATGGCAGCCCTGACACAGGGGCGGCCTCCCCAGGATTTTATGTAGATAATCTAGATTAACCAGATAGCTGTCAGTGCACAGGGTGTTTGATTGAAGAGAGCTACCTGGCCTTTTCCTCTGACTAAAAAAACCTATTGAGGCAAAAGCCAAAGGGGGGCAGCTCAGCAACTTCTGAAGAATGTGGAGGGTGATTGCAGAATCCACGCTGAGATGCTTCATCTGCCCGGTTGCACACTCTGGCTGCTTCCGGTCCATAGGTTCGGTGGGCCTGAGCAGGGCCGGGCCAAGGAACCCCATGGGCTCCAGGGTTGCCTTTCTGCTCTGCCCTTTCTGGACTCTCTGACTCCACCCTTGTTCCGTCCAGGAGCGTGAATCCCTCAATTCCAGCATTGTGGATTCCATCAACCAGGCCTCGGACTACTGGGGCATCCGGTGCCTGCGCTACGAAATCAAGGACATCCACGTGCCCCCCCGGGTGAAGGAGTCCATGCAGATGCAGGTCAGTATGGCATTCCTGGCTAAAGGAAGCCTTTCCAGCCGGCACCGTCCTACGGCTGTGGAGCCGCTTGGTACTTGGCTCTCTTCATTCTGATGGGTCTCCTTTTATCAACTGGCTGGCTGTTGCTGAAATGAAGTCGATGCAGGTCATCTTTCCAAAAAGGAGTGGCCTCCCTGATCTGGCTTGGCCCTGTCTTTGCACAGGGTTTGGGGCTCGGGACTTCCAGAGGGGGGGGGGAGCAATGCCTTCTAAGCCCCAGGGCAGCAGCAACAGCTGAACTCCTGCAGTCCTAGCCTGGGGGGTCCTTGTGCAGACAGACAGGCCCTTTTGCCAAGAGGCGAGAAGATCCCCACTAAAAGGGCCCCCTGTTGCTCTTAGGTGGAGGCCGAGAGGCGCAAAAGGGCCACCGTCTTGGAGTCCGAAGGGATTCGAGAATCGGCCATCAACGTGGCTGAGGGGAGGAAGCAGGCCCAGATCCTGGCTTCAGAGGCTGAGAAAACAGAGCGGATCAACCAGGCTTCTGGTACGGAGAGCTCAGAAACGGCTCGCGGCAAGGAGGCTTGGCCCAAAGCACGAGTGTTTTCCTCTGCCATGTGGGGTGCCCATACCTGGCATGGGTGGGTCAGAAGCACTGAGGGAATGGGAGCCCAGAAGGAGACATCTTTGGGGCAAGCACAGATGCTGGAGGTCCCGGCCTTCTTCGAGGGAGGCCTGGCACTTCAGCTAAAGACTCCTTCCAGGCAGCCTGGAGCAAGGGTGCTGCCCTTGGTTCATGGAAGACCCAGGCCTCCTCCCTCCCATGGGGAGGAGAGCAGCTGCAATTTATTTTNTGCACCGCCTGACGCTCCAGCAGCCCCGCCACGGCCGCCTCTACCGCTTCCGCGCCGACCCGCCGACCACCACGATGCAGCGGCTGAAGGCGCTGACCACCGGCTCGCTGCCCACCTTCGTGGACGCCGGCAGCAACTTCGCCTCCTACGCCATCCACGAGGACAACCTGCTCTGGCAGCTGGCCAGCAATGGTGGGAAGCCCGGGGGGGGGCGGCTCGGTGGGGCGCTAGTCCTCTTGAAGGAAAGTGGAAGGCTGAAGTCTGCCCAGGCTCCCCTGCCCTCGCTCAGCCTCGCCTCCTGCTTTCGCGAGAGTCGCAAGTGCTTCTTTATGGGCGGGCGGGGGGTCTCCTATTCGCTGCTGCTGGTTAGCCTGGAAAGACCCCCCCTCTGACTTCCCCCTCCTGAAGGTGCCCTCCTCGCCGGGCGTCCAGTCTCTGCCCCTTGAGCAGCCCCCAAGCGTTCGTTTTCCCTTCTCGCTCGTGTCCTCTTTCTGCGACGGGTCTCGGCTGGTCGAGCTCTTGGTCGCAAGCTGAGCAAGAGCCCCCTCCAGGTATCAGCTGGCCCCAGTGACCTCCCCTCGCCTCCAGGCGACCCTTCGGGCTCTATGGCAGAACCGGGCCAGCAACCTGAAAGACGGTCTCCCTCTGGGACAAAGGGACTTGATTGGTGGTTAGGCTGTGCCATTCCACCTTTGGCCCATGATCTGAGGCTCTGGGATCCGCCCCTGCACGTTTGACTTGGGGGGTGGTCCCCCCCCAGATTGTTCCAGGTCAGTGGTCCTCAACCTTTTCTTCACCATGGACCCCCTTTAAATACCTTTTGTGGCCATGGACCATGCCCACGGACCCCCAAGACTTAAGATTTAAATCATAACATTTCTCCAAGCCTTGGTGGATCCCCCTGTGATGACATTATGCCCCCCCCCCAGGGATCTACAGGCCACAGATTGAAAACCCCTGTGCTAGGACCTTTGAGCACTTTGATGTTGGGTGCAAAGTCAGGACGGCATAGCCGTCCCACCTCCAGGAGAATGGAGTGTGTTTTTAGGCTTTTTTTTCCTACTTATCATGACTGAAAAGATGTCATTTCCTCAGAAATCTTGGAAGTTCGGCATGGCTCAGTGGTTCACACAGTCATATCAATCCAAAAAGCCTGTCAGACATAAACGGTGTTCATTCTGGCTGGGAAATCTAGCTGTTGATCCCTGAAACTTTGGATTTAGGGTGTGAGTAGACCCTATACCGTGTACCACTTCAGACAAATGATTGTCCAATCTCTTCTTAAACACTGCAGATTTTCAAGGTGAGACTGGACAACCATTTGTATAGTGTTACCTGCCTGGGCAGGGGGTTGGACTAGAAGACCTCCAAGGTCCCAACTCTGTCTCTATTCTATTCTGTTCTATTCCTTATTCTCTTCTCTTCTTTTCTATTTTTTATTCTATTCCTTATTCTATTCTATTCTATTTTTTATTCTCTTCTATTCCTTATTCTATTTACTCTATTCCATTCTATTCTATTCTATTCTATTCCTTATTCTATTCCCTATTCCATTCCATTCTATTCCGTATCCTATCCTATCCTATCCTATTCCCTATCCTATTCTTCCAGATGTACTTTAATTAACCACCAAGAACTGTTTGTTTATTTATTTATTTATTTATTTTATTAAATTTATATCCCGCCCTTCTCCTTGCGGACTCAGGGCGGCTAACAATCAAGTAAAAATACACAGATACATTACAAGATTAAAATTAATTAAAAAGGAAATATTTAACTATGATCTAATTAAAATATAATTAAAACCCCCTCTAAAAAATTCCCCTAGGCCAGTCCTGCAAGCTGGAATAACCATGTCTTAAGGGCGCGGCGGAAGGAAGGGAGATCAGGGATCACCCTGATCTCTGGGGGCAGTTCATTCCAGAGGGTGGGAGCTCCCACCGAGAAGGCCCTCCCCCTTGGGGTCGCCAGCCGGCACTGTCTGGCCGACGGCACCCTGAGGAGACCCACTCT